GACTTGACAGAAGGATATTTCATGTGGCCTCAGAGATGGTAAAATAAGGCTTTTCAACCCCTGCTGTGTCTGGGGGTGAGAGTTGAGGGTCTTGATAAGCTGCCAGTCTGGACGTAGACAGGTTGAAAAGCTGGGGAGCAAGAGTGTCTGTGGGTTCAGGGTGCTGGTCGGCTCAGCTGTCTGCAGCTGGGTGGGCAGAGAAAACGCAGGGACGGGGCTGGGATGGTGTGCAGGCTGGGACTCAGAGGAGGGGAAGTCAGCCTTTTTCTGAGAATCTGTTACGAAACTCTGGTCTGAGGAGAAAGCCTGGTACTGAGTAGGTGGCTAAAGTTCATCCAGGATAAGGTGGCGAGCAAACTTGGCTTTGGGGCAGGGGAGGAAATGTCAGTTGCAGTGTCTGGCAGCTCTGGTGACTAAGTGCTGTAAAGCAGGGTTCCGACCACAGGCCTAGGACTTCGAGGAACTCCCACCCCACCCTGCCCCCCAGCCCTGCGCACACCTGTTCAGGAGAGAATGACTTTTGATTTGTCACCTGTCATGCTGCCTGCCCACTCCAGAGGGTGGGAGGGCACCGGAAGCTCCATGGGAAAACCGAAGCTGCAGTGAAGATAGTAAGGGGCCAGAGGGGGAGAGGCAGGCGTCCTCACAGGGTGCACAAGGGGGACCCTGAAACAGGTGCTGCATTCTCACATTCTCATTGTCTGAAGAGAAAGAGCCAGAGACTGAGAGCAGGGATGTCATGTGTGCAGAAGGGTGACCCCCCTCCCTAGCCTGTGCAGGTGTGGGGACTTGTGTTCCAGCAGGGTGTTTCATTTGCAGTCAGTGAGGCCTGGGGAGGACCGCTTTTTGCCTGGAGACATACAGTTGGAACTTTTTGCTAACAGAAAATGCATTTAGTTAAGGGGGACAGGAAATTCTGGTCCAGTGGTAGCTGGTACCTGCGCTTGTGCAAATCTGTGTGTGTGCCTTTCTCTGGAGGGATGTCTGCTCTACAGGGCTGGGAACTTTAGTGAGCAAGTCAAAAAAATGGAGATTCCTTGGGTTCTGCTGGGGTCCTAATGGAGTAGGTTCTTGGGTCTCTCCCTCCCTGCCATAGAGCATGTTGGCCAAGCTGCATTGGCTGGTGCTGGTGACCCCAGGCTTGCTGGGTTCCCAGTGTCATGACCTGGAGCAGGAAGACAATTTTGGGCTCAGGGTGTCTCTACGGACTGGCAGCGGGGCCATGGGATGCACCCCATGACTGGCTAATTGGTCCCTTAGCACCAGACTCAGGTGCCAACACCCAGGCACTGCTGCCCAGCTCCCTGCCAGGACTTCTCCTAGCTGTGCCAAGGGTAGGGATTGAAGCTCTGTCTGCCCCTGGATCACCCCCACCCCCCACCAGCATCCAGGCAAGGGAGCAAATGTGTATGCGGAGCTCAGTCGGGTCTCATGGTCTGGCCACTTCCTGTTGGAGGCGGCTTCAGGCTCCCTGATCTCATGGTGAGAAAATGCTGTTCCCAGAGAAGCTGCCCAGGATGGCTGTTCGCAGGGAGGGCTAGAGAGTGGTGACCATCCCTGAGTCCAGTCACCAGACAGGTTTTGCCAAAACAAACAAAATCCATGTCGCCCCCACCAGCACCCACCACTGCCGCCACCCACTCCCGCACAGACTTCCTCTGTCTCCATCGCTCCCTCTCATTTCCGCGCTGGTTGGTCATCCTATTGGAAAAACTCCAGTGCGTGCTGCCCAGTGGAACTCTCTTACCTGTGCCGTCCAATATGGTAGCTTCTGGCCACATGTGACTACTGAGCACTTGAATGTGGCTAAGGTGACTGAGGAACTGGGTCTTTGATTTTACATAATGTTGTGTTGGGCAACACAGATCTTGTGAACCAATTCCTGCTAAACGGACCAAAGTGGTGTCATCTCCAATGCAGACCTGAAGCTGTACCAATGGCCATGTTCTTCCACGTCAGATGGTCACCACTGGAGCCTCACAGCAATTCTGCCAGGCCAGGCCAGGGACTACTTACCCCTGTGCACACAGGGTCACAGGACTTGCCCAAGGTCTCCTGGCAGCAGCCAGGGAGGTGGGACTGGAGTCAGGTCATGTGGCTCCAGAGGCGGGATTTATTCATTTCTGGCATCTTCTCGGCAGACCAAAATCAGATACTGTGAGCTTAGCCAAAAATAATTACTTATGCTAGAGTCTTAGGCCTGGGCTTGACTTGTGGAGAAGAGGCTTTAGAGTAGTCTGTGGAGACCTCTATTTGTAGATGAGGAGAGTGGATATAGCTATGCATGAGGGGCACTTAGATGCTAGGCACTCTGTTAGGCTCTTTACAAATGTTACCTCATTTACCTTCCTGAGGTCAGGTACTAGTCTCCCCGTTTTACAGATAAGGAGCGAGAGTCTTGGAGAAGAGACTTAGGTTGAGGTTGTACAGCAAACCAGTGGCAGAGCCAATCTTCGCACCAGGCACTTTGGTTCTGAGGGTCTCTCCACTACCCCCTGGCTTGGAAGAAGCTGACTGTGCAGAACTCTAGCTGTGCCCAGCCCAGGGAGCCTGCGGTCAGGGTTTGGGAATCAGACAAAAGGGAGTAAATCTAGGCCACTAAAGAAAAGTGACAGATGTGGCCTGGGGAGGTGGGGGCAGTTTTCCTGGAAAGGCTTCTCAGGAAAGAAGCCTTTAGTTGGTGATTCACCTGCAAATGATGTTTTCATTTAGCATCATCAAGGGCCATTTCCTGGCCATCTCTGTTTCAAATATGTATTGTTAAGGCACAAAGCATCCTAAAAGGCAGTGGCCTAAAACAACACTCATTTGTTTATGATTCTTCAGCTGTGGACAGGGCTTGGGGAGACAAGCCTCTGCTCCTGGGACACCTGAGGCCTAGACTCTGGGGATACGGGGTGGGGGGGGTTGGAGGGGGGACCTTGACTTTCCTCCCCTCTGCCAGGACCGCCCCTCTCCATATAGCCTCCTCTACCGAACTTCGTATCTGGAAGCTCAGGGCTTCTAAGAAGTTGCAAGCCCTAAACAGCTCCAAAGGAAAGAAAGAATCCCAGCCCCTGCCTCATGGGCCCTCGTGGGTGCAGGGACAGGACAGGGCCAGGTACTAGTATTACCATCAGGTCACACTGCAGCTGCTGTGTCTAAAATACAAGTCTCAAGGCCCCTACCTTCCACTGTCCACCCCCCACCACATGATGAAGCCCTAAAGCTGTCTGTAGCCTTGTCCTTTCATCTTTCAAAGCTTTTCCCCTGCACACCCTGCTCTCTACCTGACTGTACTTCACGCCATGCCGGGGCCTCTGCTCACTGCTCTCTGCCAGCACGCCCTTCCTCCAAAGGCCCATGTGGCCAGTCAGCCGCCGGCTGTCCTCCCAGAGCCTCCACTGACCCTCTCTCCCAAAGTGGGCATTCCCTGGCCCCCACCCCCCGCCCCCTTACAGGTAATCGTGCTTACCTGGGGGATAAAGGCAGGCAGGGCCCAAAGCTTAATAGGGTCTTTCTTAGAGGGGGAAGAAAGCAGCCCTAGCGGCCGCCTCCCTGAGCCTGGCCCTGCTATATGGACAGCAGGTCCTAGTGGTCCGACAAGACTCTAGAGCCACATTCTGGTTCAAATCCACCTTACCAGCTAACTCTTCGATACCTCCATTTTCACATGGAAACAAACTATTAAGTTGCAAAGTTTGTTGTGATAATTAAATGAGAGGCAGACATAGAAGGGACCTGTGTCCGGTGGTGGTGACTCATTACTGCCTTCACTGTTATTAATACCTGCTCCTCGGGCCCTGCTGTGGACATCTGACTCCCGCGTGTGCTGGGGCTGGCATGAGGGAAGCAAGGCTGACCCTCCTGTGACCTCCTGCCTCCCTCCTGTCAGTGCCTCCCCTGCTGGGACCCCACCTGGCCACGACCTCATGCAGAGGTGTCAGCCGCTTCTGGCAGCCCAGGAAGGATCTGACACTCCCCACTCCTGGTGGGCTTCTCTCTCCCCTCTCCTGGGAGGTCTGGGGCCTGTTGAACAGAGTGGGGCCTGAGGCTATCCAAAGCTGGTGGCTCCGTGTTATGCTCACACATTTGTCACGGGATCTGAAACAAGTTTAGGGTGCATCAGCCTTGGGGTGTAGATTAGCCCATCTAATTAGTCAATCAGCCATATTCATTGTTCACAGCTTTCTTCATGCCACAGATTTCCTGAGCACCTACTGTGTGACAGGCACTGTTCTAGACACTGAAGATACAGAGAGCGTGGAACTGATAAAAGTTAACCCTGAGAGAGGCGCACCCATGCCTGTGAGTAGGCAGCCGCCTGTGTGGCCTTGAGTTCTGGGGTCTCTGGTGCCCCCTCAGGTGTCCCCATGCTTCACACAGGGACAGAACATGCACAGTAAGTTGGATCAACTCTCTAAACCTCAGCATTCTCATCTGCAAAGTGGGAGGGCAGTTTTGGGTGCACCAAGTAGGCGATGCCCACGAAAAGCCCAGCACCGTGGCAGGCACTTCCTAGCCCCCAAAATGGCCTCAGCCACACTCTGCCATCATCACTCCTTGGGCTGAAGCTTGCCCCTCCTTCTGGCTTCCTGGGGGCTGCACGCAGATTTATTGGCAGCTGCCATGTCACCTTCTGGACCCTGGAGACCCTTCCTGTGTGCACTTTGCCCCCAGGGCCGGGGTCACAGAGGTCTTAAAACCTGAGATCAGAGAAGGATGAGGGGGAGGGTGACAGCGACCATATATCAGGGTCCCAGCTGTTAGCTGGGGTTCTATCCCAGCCAAGGACAGATGGGACCAGGCTCCCAGGGTCAGGATCCACTGAGCACCAGGGGTGGGGGCCCCCAAGGAGGGTGAGGAATTCATGTGACTCTCCTTTGCACCAGTAGGTTCCCACGCTCTCCCTCCTGCAGCCGGGAAATGAAGTGACAGGTCATCCTGACAAGCAACTGATGACAGGCCCTGTGGGACATATTTAGAACTGCAGCCAGCTCCTTCCAAAGGGGTTAAGGGCATGCTTGGACTTCTGTGGGACACCTGCTGGTAACCAGCCTTTCAGTATTGACGCTGTTGCTGAATCCCCACAAGAGCCCCTATTTTAGCAGAGGAGACTGACACTCAGAGAGGGAAAGCAACTTGCTGATGTGACCCAGCTAATTCAAGGCAGAGAAGCATTAGGAACCTGGTTCCTCTGGCTGTTGTTTTTTTGTTTGTTTGTTTGTTTGTTTGTTTTTGTTTTTTGTTTTTTCTCTCTCTCCTTCAGCCCCAGCTCTCCCTGCCTAACCCTTTTCTTGTGGTTTCCACCAGAAGGTACCTTAGACTTGTAAAATGCTTTCAGGACTCAGCAGTCCCATTTAGGGCCAACACTGCTTGGCTGGGCATTTGCCCACAAGGGGATGGGTAAATTGTGGTGCTTTATTGGGAAACTTGTTTGAATCCCTTTTCTTCTCTCTATGCACACAAATTCTAATGAATCTCACACAAAGAGTCTTCTTCCTTTGCCTCTGTGCAGACATATGAAAGAATCCCTTTCAAATGACCCCCCTCCCCCACCATACTCATTCATACTGAACCACTATATTTAACCTCACAAAGCTGTTAATTTTTGACAAATAGCACTAAAGACAGTCTCAGTTTTAATATTGCTTGTTTAATTCTTTCATTAATGTTTATCTCTTTAACTTGATGGTTACCAAAATAAGCAGGTACTGTATTTGCTCAATTTCTGGTAGCACATGACCCAGGGGCACCCAGGGACCCTGGCTGTTGTTTTTTTAAATGCAGACACAACAGGACGACAACAGCAAAAACAAACAACAACAAAAACCACACAGACACAGTTAAGCTCTCAAAGCATAGAGAAACCAACCATTCTTACCTTCAGGGAGAACCTTCTAAGAACAGGATATATAAAGGATAAATGCATTTGATACTTTCTGGAAGGAGTATAAGAAATCATTAAAAGCCAAAACCTTCAGAAAGGGAAACTGGAATGGAGGAGGGAACAGCGAGAGAATTTTGCTTTTCATTCTGTGTCTTTCTCCAGCATTTGAACTATTTTCCATTTGCATTTAAAAACAAAGGCTTGTCCAAGGGGTCGGAGTGTGGAGCATTTTAAATTTTCTTCTTGGTTCTTTTCTGAAATAAAAAAGAAATGTTTCTTAAAAAAAAAAGTTGCAAAGCTGATGAAAATTGAGTACTGAATCCCAAGAAAATTGCACAAATACACTTATTCATATAATTAAGAACTCTTTGTAGGGGAGATGGGAGGAGATAATTATACTTGAAAGCCAGGCTGAACAAGATTTTCATGACTGAGAGCACAATAAATTTGTCTCATATCTGTACATTGATATTGAAACTGCTGGCATAAAAAATTAAAAATGAGGAGGCACCTAGCTAATGTGGTTTCTGGGACCAAGCATTTCATTTTACTTTGAGTCCCACACCTTCTATGAAGCTTGAACACAGTGGATGTTCCCCAAAATCCATTGGTTAATGGGTAATTTTCCTGTTGCGTGATAAAACAGGTACCCTGTCAATACCTGTTCAAGGAAACCAGTAATAAATTGCCATTGAACCCCAGCACTACCCTGGACCCCAGCTACTATGACCCTAACACAGGTGGGGCCACAGGTGAGTCGCATCAGGTTGTGAGAACTAGTCTAAGGTTGCATTAGTAATTGACAGAACTCACATTTGAACTGAACAAGTCTAGATCTGGGGAGCCCTCATTCCTGTCTTTGAACATTTGTGGCTAGAATGATCTGGCACTTCCCTCACTACCTTGCTATAACCCTCTTTCCTGCCCCTGGATCTAGATGACATGATTCAAGCACGACGATCCTCTGAGCCTTTCCTTCCCATGAGGACTCTTACATGATGTCACTTCCCACCCAGTCTCACCTTCTAGTCCTGCTCCCTAAACTCTAGCCCACTGATCAGACACCCACTCTCCAGCCTCTGTGGTCATCCACACCTCCCACCACTTCCCCTCAGCCCTCACCTGGTGCTCGTGGCCACTATCTACCTGCTGTCACTCTCAAGGGGTCCATATGGATTCTCTCTCAGGGCAAAGAGAGAGAATGTTGCAATTCTCACACATCTCCCAGGCCACCCCATTGTGGGGGGTGCCTGTGGAGTCACAGCACGAGGGTCTGGGCTTCCTGGAGGCGGTAGACATTCAAGGACTCATCAGGGTCTGCAAGGGGGGCAGAGGAGGCCCTAAGGACTAGCCCCTGCCTGCCTTCCCCATTGTGAACTCGCACAGCCTGGCATGTCGCAGGCCAGCAGTGGCTGTTCATTGAATGAAACAACAGATAAAGGGCCAAATAATAAGAGAATCTGTTTAGTCGTGAACCAAGGCAGTCGTGCGTGGGTCAATCCCTCTGGCGGGGTAAGACCATCTGTGCCCAAAGTGGCTGCACAGCAAACCTCCCCAAGTGGAACCTTTGGCAAGACACTGGAACGGTCTTGTGGCAGGCCTGGAGTAAAAGGGTGTAGGGACGGGGCTGAGGGTGCCGTGGTCCCCAGCTTCCTGCTTAGGTGGGCTGAGCTGCAAATCCATCTTTTGGTTTCAACCCGATAAAAGTTTTTAACATGTGTACATCATTTTTACCACTGTGGTAGGAAAAATAAGTTTAATGCAGGCATAACTTCTGTCCCCAACCACTCGCTTATTGGACTCTCATATGTGCCCCCAAAATAAGCAGGAATCTGTTTCATGGAAGTTGAGCTTCAAAGACATTTACCTACTTATCAGAATTACTCAGTTCTAAGTTCTCGTCCTAGTCCAGAACATTACTGCGTGATATTTGATCTCCTTATTCTTATGGAGGGGGGCTGAGGGTCATTTGTACAGAAAAGACCCTAAGGAGAGGGGGTGTGGATACTATTTAACCCTTATCAAGTCATATCTATGTGTCAGAAATGTAGAAATGGACTTAATCCTGATGTCTGTGGGGCAACCGTACTCCTCAGATATCACATGGAAAACAGTGGAGTGGACAAGGGGCTGCTGGGTTTGTCTCAGAAGTCCCTGGTGACTTGGTGGTTGGGCCTCCCAGCTTACCAGCTGACCAAGAATCTGCAGCAGTTCCAGGTGTCCCTGCCCTGCCACAGGTCCCTGCCCAGCACCCTGTGACTCCCAGTCTGTGAAAGGAATTGGGAGACAGGGCCGCACACCACCCTGGGCTTCCCAAGGGGCAGACTTGACTCCCTTTCCCAGGCTCGGATTGGTCTCCAGCTGGCAAATAGCCAAGGCTGCTGCCCCCACCCCCCTCACTTGGTAGGAGCTCTTATCTCAGAAGCTGCTAGAAGAATTCAGCACCTTTGACCCTCTTTCACTACTCCTTGGGCAGGTGGGCAAAGATGCGCTAAACAGCAGCTCAGCTAATTCCCAGAAGTGCCCCCGTAAAACACACAGGGTCCCCTTAGAGGTGGCACGGGCACTTCCCCCAAAGCCAACCCCAGGGAAGCAGCATCATTGACCCCTGAGGCCTGAGGCGAGATGCAGGAGGTTAGTCTGAGGCGCGTGGGAGTGCAGAACCGGCTGGAACCCACTGCTCCTGAATCCCTTCCTTGCACAACATTGCTCACCCTGAGGCCCCGCATTCCATGCCTGGGGTTTAAGTCGCCCGGGTTATGAGTCCTCCTTAAAGATGAAAATACCCTCAGGGAGGGACACATTCACCACAGGGAGCAGAAAAATAAATCCCACAGCTGCATTGCTGTGGACACAGCAAGAACCGGGACTTGCTGGATGGGAGATGCAGAAAGGGAAGGAGTGGAAAAGTACCTCAGAAAGCCTTACCCTCCCTCACCCCAGTGCTCCCCACAGTGGGCAGGGGTGAAGCCGGGCTGCCACCTTCCTTTCCTTCTGTGCATATTTGCTGGACGCCAACTCCCCGCCAGGTGCTGGGCCAGGTGCCAAGGACACCAGGTTTGCTCAATCAAACCTGCGAGGGGAGGGTGAATGAGCTCTCTGGCTCTCTCTAGCTCTTATGGTCTCCTCTCACACGCACATAATGACAAAGACTGCAGCTCCCTCCCCCACCTTCTACCCACCCCCCTCCTGCTTTCAGAGCCCAGTCTAGACCCACAGGCTGATGGGACACAGAAGGAGCAGAGCTGGCCTCAGGCAGGCTCACCAATGGTGGGGAACTTTGAAGAAGTCATCCACTGCCTTGGACCCTCTCATCGCTGGGGTGAGGCAGAGGGTTCCTGAGGTCCTTTCTTGCTCAAGCAGTCTTACGAGGCAACGCATTCCTTTGTCCTAGCCCATAAGATAAGATTTTCCCCTTCCCCATGCCCTCAAGTGAGTCAGATCCTGGGCATCTCTCTGGTTGGCCTCCACACAGGAAAGGGATAAGCCTCACTTCCCAGCAAAAGTCCATCTTCCATCCGAGGTGGGCCCTTTCCTGGGCGGTGGTTCCGGAGCTAAAGCAGGAGGATCTGCTTTAAGAGGACACCTGGACACTTGTTAGAAAAGCAAAGCTCAGCCCCCAGTGCAGGTGTGGGGGGCCTGGCAATCCACTTTATCAAGCCCCCCAGGTGATTCTTATGTCATTAGTTTGAGAACCCCTGGCGCAGAGAAGACTTAGGCTAGGATTTGTAGGGGGGGTGGGTGTGAAGCGGGAGATGGAAGAAATGAGCTTCAGCATGGGAATTTGCTGTCAACCACGGAGGAGGAGTCGGTGTGGTCCTGCTTCTGGTGTCCTGAGGTGAGCTGCCTGTGGCTTCCAAAGTCTGGAACCTCCAGAATATCAAGAGCCTTTCTTCATAAAGCTTTTAATTCACTTAATGCACAATTAAGATTTGAATATATTCTCACTGGAAAAGTTCAAAGCTTAACAAAAAATTCAAAGCAACTTGGAAAAATGCTCCATGGAGGCCCGAGCGCCAGACCCCTCCCCCGAAAGCAGCCACTGTTATCTGCTTGGGGTATATCTGAGGAGGAGGGTGCTCGGTACCTACAGAACTCACAGTCTGAAGTTTCTGGTTGTTTGTTTGTTTTTTTTTGTTGTTGTTGTTGTTTTTTAGTCTGAGGGTTTCTGCCTAGACAGGACGATGGTGAGTGTGTCATGCATCAGCTCCCACCTCCCTTTTATTAACACACCTCAGAGATCCATCACCACACATGGGACGCCGCTTAACCATGTCTCCAGCGTGGCGGCTACTGGGGCAGAAAAAATATTTTCACACCACGCCAGAGTATACCCCTTTACTGGGGTCTCATACCTCCCCAGTCATGCCTACCCTACGGGGAGCATGCAGACACGTGTGTGTACACACACACGCACACGCACACACACATATATACACACACGCACACGCACACACTGACAGTGTTCTCATTAGAGGAACCTGCCCCAGCCTTGCCCGGCCATGACCAGCCCTGAGGAGGGGTCATCCTTTGGCTGCCTGCCAGGTGTCCCTTGGTCCTGAGACAGCCCCCCTGGAACCTGAAGACTGAGGCACCCACAGGCTGTGTCACTACTGTGCGTGTTTGTGCAGACATTTATCCTGACTGGGAGTCCAAAGTTTTCAGATTCCCAAAGACCTCTGAAACCCCAAAAAGCATTAAAGCCACAGTCGATTGTTCTTCACGGAGAAAAGCAGATTAGCCAAAATAATGTCTGACATTCTGGAGTGTGAAGTTAACCTTACAGAGGTGGAGGCAGTTAGCTCTTGGAAAGATGGTGGCCTCCCCACTCCCAAGCTTGGACCTGGGCTTGGTCTGCTCTCTGAGTGGCACAGTGAGAGGGGAAAAAAGCTAAAGACCAGACAGGGACAGGTGAGGCAGGTGAGCTACGCAGTGTGTTGGCTTTGAGAGACTTCCCCAGATCCAAGTCTTTTCCAGAAACTTAGAGAGTGACTATTTGGAAATGAGGTCACTGCAGGTAAACTTAAGGTGGGGTTACACTGGAGCAGGGTGGGCCCTATAGCTCATATTGTAACAGGGTGGTCCCCAGGAAAGGAGGAGGTTCCCTGCCCCACCCAAGGGAGGGTGGAGCTGAGCAGGAAGAGGAGAAGCGGCAGAAGAGACTGAGGAAGGAAGCAGGATGGAGCCAGGAGATCTGGAGGAGGCGCATGGAGCCTAGAGACACGTGAAGAAACTGCGCTTGCCTTTTGGTCGTGGACGGGGTGACACAGATGTGGGTGAGACCCGTGGGGAGGTGACAATGGCAGCTTTAACTTGATGTTGATTTTGCTCTTTTCCTTCCGGGCTTGTCTGGTTGTTTCTGACCCTTTTCTGTGGGTCCCCACTGGAAGATGCTTTAGACTTGTGGCAGGCTTTGGGGCCTTGCTCTGGGCCAATCCCATTTGGATGGAGTTTTACCCACGAGGGGACGGGTAACTTTGGGTGCTTCATTTAGAAACTAGACTCTTTGCCTTTCCTGTATTGTTTCCTAGTTTTATTAAAGTTCCTTCCCATTAAAGTTTCATGTTTTGTGTTGCTGCGGCGGATGGCAGAACCCATTTAGAATAGGCAGGTTTGCGGGGTTTGGGCTGCCCCTCTCCCTGCCCTGTAACAATATGACTGGGGTCCCTACACAGAGCTGGGCATAGACACAGAGGCCATCTGGGGAAGAACGCCAGGTGAAGATGGAGGTGGATACTGGGTGATCCCCCGCTAGGAGCCCACAGGAATGCTGAAAACCACCAGAAGCTGGAAGAGAGGCCTGGAACCTTAAACTTCTAGAAGGAACCAATACCTGGAGTTCCAAAGGAACTCCAGGCTGCAGAGAATACATGTCTGTTGTATTCAGAGAATACATGTCTGTTGTTTAAACCATCTAGTTTGTGGTACTTCATTATGGTCACCCTAGAAAAGAGATATACCAAGTTAGGGGTGGCCAAAACCAGCTCAACAACAGCTCCCAGGGAGCCCTGAAGCCCCCAGCTCTCAGAAACTCAAAGGGCTGGACTTCTTTGTTTCAAAGATCCTGTCGTGTGTCCCACACGAGCTGCAGGCTCTGATCGCTCAGGTGTGCAGGCAACCCTCCTCCTGGAGAGATTTCCCCTAATCAACAGCCAAACCAAACACATGTTACTCTCCAGGCCCAGAGTCACCTGCCACTTGGCAATGAGAGCATGTCAACCCGGTTCCTGGCTGGCAGCACTGACGGGCCCATCTGCTCCGGAAGTGCCTGGGCTGGGTAAACACAGCCAGGCTCTGCCTCCCACGGGTGGACAGCAGGGCCAGACAGAAGACCTGGGCCTCAGCCCTCAGTCCCCTGGCTCACTTTCCATGCAGGAGGAACGGCCTTCCTGGAAAACGAGAAGGAAGGTACAGGCAAGGAAGAGTGGGGGTTGTCTGGGTTCTAGCCTACTCTCTGTTCACTCCCCAGAATCCCTCCTGCTGGGGCCTGGGTCACTGCCCCCTCCCATGAGCCCTCCCTTCCTCACTCACGCCCACAGAAAGCCATCTGCCACCCTTGCCCCCTGGCAGGCACCACAGACTTATGACTCAGCGCCCAGGCCTAAGGCTGCTCTGTGGGTGGCCGCTGAAAACCTTGGTGGGGAGAGAGGGGGGCTGGAAAGAGGGGATGTGGTGGGGAGAGAGGACACTTGCAGGGACCCCAGGTGGCCTTTTCCGGAGCTGAAACCCTGACAGCACTGGCTTGATCAGGGTTTTATAGTTCACCAACTCAAGGGCAGAAATGTTGCCTAAAATACAATGGTTTCATTAAAATGCACCAAATTCAGTTCCTTTTTTCCCCTCAGGGTTTTACCACCTGTTCTCCAGGCCCAGACCTCAGGCTATATGGGGACCTGTTTCTCTAGAATATTCCATACTTACTTCTTCCTGTGCAACCCTCAACCTCAAGCCCTTGGATAGCACCTTCACCCCCACATTCCCTTGAGGGGATGTTTTCCCATGAAGGCATTAAGTGCTTGTCCCAAAGGTCTAGCAGTGGGGGTGAGACTGTAGGCATCATTCTGGGGACTGGAGTGAGTGTCGCTTCCATCAGTGGCAGGGCAAGGGTCGGTCCTTGTCCTGGGCATCTTGAGAAGAGGGCCCCATGTCTGGTTCTGCATCAGGCACCCTTTACCAGTGTAGATTTCACTTAAGGGTGCTAAGTTCTAGGAGTTGAGCTCTGAAGGAATAACCCAGACTGGGCCTGCCCAGATGAAAGATTTGGGTTTGAGCTCCGGTCATCACCGAGGGTGATGGGAGGCTTGGAAGACTCAGCACCCCGAGGCCTGAGTTCCCAGCCTGCAGGAGCCTGCTTTGGGTCCCCTTCCAGAAGGACCAGAATCCTCCAAGGCCTCTTGTGAAATGAATGGAGATTTAGTCACCTCCCCTCAAAGCTGAAAGAGGCCCTTGGAGTCTGGCAGTGTCTTCCTCCTTCCCAGCAGCACCAGGGGTGGGTGCAGCTCTGTTTTCTCTTGCAGAGTCAGGCAGTGGTGCCCTTCATCATCCAGGCCAGGATACACCAAAACAACCCCATAGTTCCCCCCAGAGGTGGTTTTGCTGTTGGTACCCAAGGAAACAGATCAGCTCTAACAAAAGTAAAGGATTTTGGGAGGTCCCAAGAAAGCTCAAAATTGCAGCAGGAAGAGTCTGGGTATGTTTGATTCTGGTGCTACATCCACCTGTGGACTGGAGGCAGATTCCTACTCTGTGCCTGCTTTCCTCAACTCTGTGATGGGACAAGAGTACCTTCCCCAAAATGCTGGCAAGAAAGTTCAATGAGGCAGACAGTTGTGAAAATGCTAACTGAAGATAGTTATTCTGGTGCCTTTCTTCATGGAAATGTATAGTAATAGCCTACTGAGTAGTAAAGGTCTAGTAATAATAGGCATGTTAATTATTCATTTAGCACTTTCTGTATCGACAATGTCAGACTTTTTGATGAAGGTTTTGCCTGTACCACCTCCTCCCTTATGCCTTGTGTCTTTCTCCCCAGAACCCCCCAGAGGGGCCTCCCCCTGTCTTTATGCCACCCCCCACCCCGTGCATTGTATTGGCTATTTTCCAGCCCAACCCTCACCCTGGGGAGAGTCTGCCAGGCACATGTTTCTTCCCAGAGCAGGAAAGTGGGCAGAAAACAACACAACTGAATCAGAGTTCATAATTTCTGTGCAATTTCTTCAGAAGTATCGGCCTCTAGATAAAACCCAAATCTCCACCCGAGACTGGTTCTATTTGCCCGGTACTCCTACTAGCCCAATGCACAGCTGCAGAGATTTGATTTTCCCACACAGCAAGCATGAGCATCTACTGACGTGAAGCCACTCCCTGCAGCAATCAGGTGCCACGTCCTCCCAGGAAGCACCCAAGGTGCTTGGGAGGCTCCAGACACTGCTCAGAGAACCAGGGACGCAGGAGTGAGGAACAAGTCGACTTTCTACAGAAAGGATTCAGACCCCACATATGTCAATGAGGTCATTGCTGAGACTGAGGGTCTGTCCCCAATATGGACTTAGGGGTGGAGGTGTCCTCTCTACCTGGAGTAATTGGGGAGGCTTCTGAAAGGTGACAGTGACCCAAAAACTGAATGATAAGACACAGGTACACAAAAAGCTGGGGGAGAGCAGATGCACAGGCCCTGGAACAGGAATGTGCTGGGGCTCTTCAAGGAGTAGGAAGAAGGCCAGGCTGGGTGCCTGGAGCTGTGAGAGTGAGGGCCAGCGGGGGAGCCAGATCCTGACAGCTTCATAGCATGGTGATGAGTTGGAATTTTATGCTCATAGCCAAGGAAGACTTTAAAGCTGGACAATGACAGTTGTGACTTAACTAAGTAGAAAGATCACTCAAGCAATTGTGTGAAGAATGGAGGGAAGTGGCAAACAGCTGTGAGGAGGTTGCTGTGGTCTGGACCACAGGACCAGCTGGCCCACGAGGCGATGGGGGTGGGGGGGCAGAAGGTAAATGCTGTGATACTAACACAGGTGAGGCATGAGTGCTGACCCCCATCTGTGCTCTGTGATACCCAACACAGAGTTGGGTACTCCCTAAAAAGAAGGTGCTGGTACCTAGATGTGTGGCCAGGATTGGGAGACGGGATGGAGGTGACAGGGTTGTGGAGAAGGCCTAGCATGAGCCACAGGAGGCCAGAGCCCGAGGGGGGGGGCCTTGGGAGTGGGGGAGCCCTGGGGCTGGCATCCCACATCCTTCTTTCAGTTCCCTAATGTGTGTGCTGTCTTTCCATTCTTCAAAGGTCATTTTCCGAGCAACTATCGGTGACATAAGTGTGTTCCAGAAATGAAAACTTGAAAGTATTTAGAATAAAAACAGCTCATACTCATTTTTTAATTTCAAAATTTTGTTTAACTTTTACATTTGCCTGATAAAAATTTCAGAGTGTAAGAAGCACACAGAACAGAAAAGATGACTCCTTCCACCCTACCCTCCTCCCTGGGAAATACTCTGTTTTCTGTTCATTTTTAATGTTTTCAGAAATACCCTTAACACACACACACATATACATCTTATTTTTAAACTCAAAGATAGCATAGTATACCATCTCTCATAAATTATATTTCTTAAAAGACCATTTCATGTCAGCCCATGAATCACCAGCTCCTTCTTTTGTAGAGGCCATGTGCTACACCATGCTGGGGATATATTGTAGGAAAATAGGTATTTAGATGGTTTCCAAGTTTGGGCTGCTATAAACAATGTCACAACAAACATCTTCATATGTAGGTCTTTGGTGTTTCTGTTGGATAAATTCCTAGAAGCGGAATTTCTAGCTCTAGGGATAATTACATATTTTCTGTTTGGATAAATATTGACAAATTGCTCATTGGAGCAGTTGGACCAATTCATTCCTGGCCCCCATTCCTCAGTGTCCCTGACAGCATCCCCTTCGCCATGTCAACACAAGCCTTGTCCAAATGTCCCATCTCTGTCAATCTCATGGCACCTGACAATTTGCATATGTTAAGAATAAGTTCACCTTTCTTGGCTGGTGGGTGCTGTCACCCCCATTCAGTAGGAGAGCTCAGTCCACAGGCTCCAGGACAAAGCCAGTGTCCCAGCCAGACCATGAATAGCAGACAGGGCAGAAGCACAGCCAGGAACAGCACAGGCCAAGCCAGGAGGGAAGTAGGGGCCAGGCCAGGGAGAGGTTGCCCCCACAGATACTCAGTCAGAAGCCATAAGACCAGCCCACAGTTTAGCCTATAAATAAGCCTATTCCACTAGGACCTAGGACCTGGCCTACCTCTTCTGCAATCCCGCCTGGGACAGCCCGAGGCCCGGATGTGGGTGTGGATGAGCCATACTAGGGCAGTGGGAAGTAGGTCGCTGGCTGGAGGAGTGGGGAATTTAGGAGCAGAGATAAGAGTGAGACTGAAGTCCCAAGTTTCGTTTCTTCCCACCATAAACAGGTTGGCGGTGGCAAAGCAGGAAAATGCAGGCTCCATTGAGAGAGAGAGAGAGAGAGAGAGAGAGAGAGAGAGAGAGAGAGAGAGAGAGAGAGAGAGAGATCACTGTCAATAAACCACAGTAAGTAGCCCAGTGGACCTTCCTTACCTTAGCATCACTCGCTAAGCCTCTTTGGGAGCCTCTTGACTGCCGATTTTCTAGTAGGCTCCACTTCTGTGAACTCAAAAGTAATGGAATCAGCTTCAACAAAACAATGTTCTAAATAAAGAAATGTAATCAGAGCTGCTGACCTTCAAAGGAAAACTTGTTTTGTAGGCCTTGGACTTGAAGGGAGGAATGTGAGAGTGTGTGTGTGTAGATTATGAATTTCGTGTGTGGCTGAACACTAAGTTCTACCATCCTCCTAGAACTTGCCTATTAAAAAACAACTTTCAAGAAAAGAGTCAGAGTAAGGAGGGCAGGGAAACTTGACTGTTTCGAAAATGACATCAGGGTATTACTCACAGACAGGCTTCCCAAAGGAGTGGGTTCTTTAAAGTCCCCCTCCCAGGCGCAGAGCAAAGCCTGAGCAGAAGTTTTAAGAGCCCCCCTGTGGGGTCCAAAGGTGGGCAGGGCCAGGGATGAAACCCCCAGGGCAGGCAGGTTCATACTAGGCTGTGTCCTTGACAAGAGGCTCGGTGAGCACTGAGAGTCAGAATTCAGCCATCATGCATGGCTCTCCTGGGTCCAGGGTATCACCCAGAGGAGCCAGAGTGTGGTCTGTGGCCAGCAGTGATCATCTGAGGTTCTGGGGTTCTCGCTCTTTGTCTTCTTGGGCAAAGATGCTCCCTCCTCCTTCTCCAGTGTTCTGAGAGTCTATCTTCTACGCCACCTACCCATCCATTGCACTGACTCAGATGGTTGGTAAATAAACCATTTTTTGAGCCCAGAACAAATTAGAGACCCTGACAATACTGAGGGGGATGCAGAAACAGGCACAGCAGTGGCAGGTGTTGCTCTGGGAGTCTCACCTGGGGTGGCGGGAGTATAGGTAGGTACAGTCTCTTGGAAAGCAGAGTAAAGGTGAACTTACACTGATCATCTAGCAATTAATCCCTCTCCTAAGTATATACCTTGGAAACTCTTACACCAGTGTGAAAGACCAGATGTTCAAAGAAACAGTGTTCATAATAATAAAATTATGAAAAACCCTGAGGTCCTTTACCAAGAGACAAATTGCAATTTGCAGTCCACTCCCACAGTGTAAAGGGACATTATGAAGGGGTGACAATGAACAAACCGTTAGTTACATTAAGTAAGGCAGAAGAATCTTAGAAATAAATGGTGTGAAAAAAGCAAGTTTAAGAAGACCTCAGATGATATATAAACAAGCAAAGCTAAACGATATTTCCTAAGGAACTCATACAAAAGTATCGCAAATTTTTTTAGAGCAAGGAAACACTGAGGATAAAATGAAGGGCTGTTGTTACTGTAAGGACAGGTAGGTTATGGGACAGCAGAGGAGTCCACAGGTAGGATCTAAGGTCTAGTTCCTGGATCATGTAAGTAGGTTATAAGTGTCGCAAGCAGGGAAGCAGACCACCTTGGTGGGCTCCCTCAGGGTAGGTGCTGCCAATAATCCTCTGGCCATAAATGGTGCCTTTTCAGTATGCTTTATTCACACAAGTCACACACAATCAAACACCATGGCTAGCACTACCCTAGCGCTGTGTCCCTTGAGCGATCACTTACCACAATGCCACTTTTAGTCGCTGGGGACGAGTCATCCGTGGTTCTGCAGCTCACGTTCAATCTCTTGATCTGGGCGGGTCGAATCTGGTCTGGGCTCTGCAGGGACACATGGCAGCCGCAGCCCATGAGTGCTGTTCTGGGTCTTCTCCGGTGGATCTCGAAGGGGCATGGCGGCTCTCAGTCACGCAGTGACGGGCTGACCTCGAGCTCACCCCGAGCCGAAGTGCTTTGAGATGGCTCAGTTTATATACTTTCCCTGAGCTAGGTTACATCATTTATTTTTCTCAACATTTTCAATAACATATTTGCATCCAATAATATATGCGTATTTATATTTCACTTTCACCAAAATATTTTCTTCACTCCAAATTAATTATCAAAATAAAAAATATTTATTTTTGCTCATCCTCGGACAGCTGCTGCCCGATATCCTCGGCCAGCTGGTGTCCAATGAGAATATATGTTTCCTTACATCATAATCTACCCGCGTCTGCTGTGCGCCGTCTGTGTCTGCGAAAAGCTGGTATCCAATAGGGATGTAGGTGATGTTTATAATTTACATGCTTCCTACAGTGTTCATTTTACATTTTATTAATTGTATGTTCTACTATATCAAAATTACATAATATACATTTTCAAAGAAAGAACTCCTGCTCTAAGGAGCTTTCCATCCATGTGAGGAGACAGAAGCATGGACCTCAAACAAGCCATTTTGTATCTTAGCACAAAACATGAACCTTGTAAACCCTTGTGTTTGTTTGGACTCTCCATTCCACGTGACCGAAACCAAACTCAAACCATTCAAGCAAAAGTAAGTTGTGAGTAAATAGTAAGTAAATCCGCTCACCCATTGAGCTGGGGCCAGGCCCAGGGACTCTAGAAACTGAAATAAGGAACCTTCACTTCCTTGCTCTTTCTGCATCTTTTTTGGTCTCATTTTCTCCTACTGGGGGCTGGTAGCTTCCATCTGGGGAGGGGAGGAAAATGCAGGTAGCACTAGCCTAACTGGCCTGGCCACAGACACAATCAAAGAGAGAGATTTTCTTCCCATGATCCAAATACAACCCCCCCAGGCAGGGATTCCTATTGGAATAGTTTGGGTGGATGAGGCCCATCCCTGGGCCAGGGGAAGGGGCAGGGTGTGGTGGGACGCTCCCCTCTAAGCTCAGGGAGAGGCAGAGGGGCTGTTTCCCAGAGGAAAGAAAGCCATCAGGAGAAGGGATGCCAGATGACAACCATGGCGGGGCTTGGATGACAGAGGAATTGGAAGGAGCTGTGGGTGTAGGGACCGCTGTGCCCCTCTCTGGAGGAAAGGTCCTAGCCACCTAGCCTGAAGGAAGAGCAGAACTTAAAGCCTTGGCAAGAGGGAAAAGGGGAAGGCAGGGAGCGCAGGAGGAAGGATGACTCCCGCCAGACCCTGGAGGCAGAGACTGACTATGTAATGCCAGATGCCTTGAATGACCCTGGGGGAGTCATTTTAATTGTTCTGTGGGCTGGTTGGCTCCAGGGTATAAAAACAAGCCCTGAAGGGAGGGATTCCCTGGAAATGAAAGATAGGTAGCAAAAAGCAGGACACAGGATGTCGCAGAAGCCTCAAGGACACCCCCACACAGGCCTTGAGCTGACTCAAGCAAAGGTTGGGGGCAGCAGAGGGGACAGGCTAGGGGCAGGCTGGGAACCACATAGTTACAGGCCAGGAATTTTTCCTTCTTGAAGGCATTGCCTCAAGGATGGTTTCCAACTGGGCTTATCTGGCCTACCACCCACAGACCCTGGTCCTCAGCAATCCTAAGCTCAGCCATGTTCTAGGTGGGTGGCCCTCAGTGTGGGGACAAATGCCCAGCAGGTCTCCTGGCCATTTTAATGACCTAAGGAGTGGCAGAGACCTCCAGACCCAAATGTTCCTGCTTCACAGAGAAGTAGGAGCGGGGTTGGGGAGTGGGCAGTGATGGCAAATCACATCACAGTGACAATGCCACATATCCACTATGAGCCTAGGGGGTAACCTGGAGTCAGCTCCCTGTTCTATCACATCATAAATAAGTGACCTAGGCAACCTCTTCATGCTGAGTCTGAGTTGGTGAAATGTCCAAAATACTATGATATTACCTAACTTGAGGAACAATTGTAAAGCTTGGGTAAGAGAAGGTTCTGGTTGGCATGAGGTTTTTCATCAATGTTTGGCATAGTCACAGGCATGATTTTGTAACAGGGTGGTCCCCAGGAAAGGGGGAGGTTCCAGGTTCCCTGCCCCACCCAAATGGAGGGTGGAGCTGAGCAGGGAAAGAAGCTGCAGAGGAGACTGAGGAAGGAAGGAAGCAGGATGGAGAGCCAGGAGGAGACCTGGAGGAGGCACATGGAATGGAGAGACATGTGAAGAAACTGTGCTTGCCTTTTGGTCGTGGACTGGGTCACACAGATGTGGGTGAGACCCGTGGGGAGGTGACCATGGCAGGTTTTATCTTGATTTTGATTTTGCTCTTTTCCTTCCAGGCTTGTCTCGTTGTTTCTGACCCTTTTCTGTGGGTCCCCACTGGAAGATGCTTTAGACTTGTGGCAGGCTTTGGGGCCTTGCTCTGGGCCAATCCCATTTGGATGGACTTTTACCCATGAGGGGACGGGTAACTTTGGGTGCTTGATTTAAAAACTAGATTCTTTGCCTTTCCTGTATTGTTTCCTAATTGTATTAAAGTTCCTTCCCATTAAAGTCTCATATGTTTTGTGTTGATGTGGCGGATGGCAGAACCCAATTAGAATAGGCAGGTTTGCGGGGTTTGGGCTGCCCCTCTCCCTGTCCTGTAACAATTTCACAACTTAGAGTCCCTGAGCTGGCGATGGTGAGCCCCCGGAGAGTGTAGATAGCCACAGAGGCTAAAAGGCCCCTGTTGACACTGTAAAAGGGTTGTGCATTATTACATTTGAAATACTTTCTCACTTCAGGGTCTTTGTACATGCTGTGTCCCCACACTTGGAATATGCTACTCCCATGGATCCATCATGGCTAGTTCCTCATCCTCCAGGCTTGGGATAAATGCCACCTCAAAGAAGCCTTCTATGATCACCCTAACTAAAAAAGTAATCTTGCCCTCCATCCCATTACTCTCTTTTATGTCCTTCCTATCATCATTACCCCCGTTATTAAATTATATATTTTAATTTGTTTATTATCTAGTCCCATCTGGAGTATAAGCTCATTGAGTAAGACACCTATTTTATCACTGTATCCCTAGCCTAGCATGGCACTGACAGGTGCTTAACTGCTTGTGGCATGAATAAATGAAGAATGCCCTGGTTACACTCAGGTCTTACATTTCAATCAAGGCTCACAGAGCACTCAAATCTCCCATGGCTTTGTTTGCGTCTGACCTCTCAGAGGTCCTGGCTATGATTCAAGTTCAGCCATGGAGACACCACCACCAGGGACTGTGCAACAACTGCCTCCATAACTTACCTTTACACCCTTCCAACAAGCAGTCCAGTCTCCCTGCCAGTGAACACTTCCTTTTTTGGTTGTATGTGGTGAAATCTGTTGTGAGCAAGAGAGATGTCTCTCTCTTCTATAAGTTCAGAGGGCAACCAATTATTAGAGTTACTGCAA